TCTGCTTGCCTGGAGCTTTCTCCCTCGTAGACCGACAAACTCCCAATGATTACAAAATTCTTCCGAGATCACGTTTAATTACGTGATCTTCCGCGCACTTATTGTTCTTTTAACTTTGACCCGCGTTGATCCACAGGCTCTATACAGTAGAACTGTGATCGAAAACTCACGCGCGATCCTAATTGCTTCAATTATTGCACTATGGTCCGCATTTCTCATGGTTGATCCGGCTCGAAGGACCAACAATGTTGACGCGGGCACTTACGAGACGCTCGGATTAGACACTAGAAAAATCGCGACTGAATTATCGTTTAGAGAAAGGTTACTTTATTTAACTTCAATTGTATTTATTACACACCTCTAATTTTAGGTTTATTTTTGACTGATACAATTCTGGTTCGTGTAATAGTAATAAATGCGAATTCAGTGGATTGATAAGAGAGCAAAAGGCCTATTCAAAATTCTCTTCTCTCGTTATCCGAAGACTAATGATAAGGAAGGGTACATTGTGGTATTGATCGCAAGAGATCGAGTGAGATCAAAATAGGTCTTATATACCCGAATGGCTTTTGCTGGATAAGATGAGGTTGTGGCATAATTAAACGAATAAGCTCTGCAAATAACGCTCGTTGAAAACAATTTTATGAATATGTTACTGGAAAAAAAATGCAAGGATTTAAAAGGAGGACATTTTCGTGCAAAAGGAGGATGTAGAAAAATTATTGGAAAAGTAGGACATGTCCTCCTTTAGGAAACCATATGGTAACCCTACACTCACTAGAGTTGGATTGCAGGTTACGCATGTAATCATCACCTCAGGAGGGTTATTCATAAATTAAATTCTTATATAATGCTAGGAAACACCTTCAGATAAAAAAAATTTACAACCAAGTCTTGTCTAAACGATCAAACGCTTCTCCATTTCCAGTTGAAGTTCATTGAAGCTGATCCAGAACTTGGACATTCAAGCCACCCGAACAATGTTGACTGTCGAACCGGAGCATCTCTCGTTTAAACAGCATCTTGACTGACGAAGGTACGAGTTCCTTTATTATTATAGCGCAACAGCCAAAGGTGCTACTTAGAGAGGGGTTTTAAGATAAGAGAGAAACGTATTCAAAACAAACGACCTTGGCACCCTATGCCTAAGTGGTTTCTACCAACACTGTCATTTCAATCAAAATGTGCGTTGCTCGATTGGTTCTGGCTTTGACAGTTGGGTTGGCTTAAAATCAACCAGTCCGCTTCTTTCTTATCCTAGACCCTCTCTAGTGCTACGAAAAGCTTAAATCTGGGCTTAGTTATTTGTTTCAAAGGTGCGACCTTAGACATTCGTCCTTCCATTTCTTCACGTAAGAGCTAGGTTATTTACTCACCGATTTTATGCATTGCCATTGTGCACCAGTTTTAACATTGAACTTACGAGATTGGGTTTGATGGTTTTGACAATAAGCTCAAACGAAACGTCGTCATCTGAAATTTAATGTTGTTAAATTCAAATTTATTGGATTTATCTTAAACTGATGTATAGCGTCAAATTGGTATGAGGTCTGAACAAGATATAGTGGCAATCCATGTTTATAATTTTCTCCAGTAAGAATGCGATCAAACGTAGAATCGATCTTACCTCCTGATCAAAATCTGACACACTTACCCATCTTGTGATCACGGTGGATCTGATCCTATTGAACCAAGTGATAACCAGATAGTAAAGACAATACTAGTTGGCGCCAGCATCAGTGGTTTAAAAATGCTTCGCGCTAATGGCATAGTTCCCCTGCCGAAGAGCATTCCACAATGGTGTCTTGGTTAGCTTTAGTTTTGTAATACTATTTGAATTATCATTTGTCAACAGGATCTTTTGAAGCCTTAAACACTTAATTCAACCAAATTAAGCAACACCGCTTAATTGATACACTTTCATTCATACAAAAGATGGGATGGGATTATTTTTTACTTGAAAATAGTACCCTGAAATGCACAAATTTTAATTGACAACGACAAAAAAAAATGGAACTCCATTTCCTGCTCATTAAATTATTGTTCCGACCCTAGCTCTTTTCTACTAAATACAGTTTCACTCAAACTATCTACTTTCTATCCTTTGTTTCAAGAATAAAGGAGCACATATGTGAGAGGCCCCGTTAAAAGTACTGAACAAAGTATCCAGTACCCTTAAACTCCCGCCACAAACCCTGCCAATCACATATGTGCTCCTGTTCTAGCTCCTAACTGATTAAAAATGCTTCTCAGGGTGGTATCACATTTCCCGGAGCTTAATTTTCCAAAATGGACCATTTACATGAAAGTATGAAATCATGTGCTTTCAAAACGGAAAAAGTTATGTCTTTATTCAAAATTTTGCTAATGGGAATATTGTTTTCTTTATTCAAATATCATATTAAAAAAACAACAATAAGCAAACAAAAAAGATAAAAACAAAAAATAAATAAAACAACGCAATCAACACTCAAAGAAGAAATTATTCCCATTTCAATATATTTTTTAAAGCTTTCTTATTTTTAAAATTCTTAAACGAAAATATTGCCGAAAACGTTAAACTGATCAATGGCCCAATCTCAAATTAAAATCCGGGAAATATGATACTACTCTTTCTACTAGCTAGCTACTATAAGTGAATGGTAAATTTTGAGGTAGCTAACTAACAAGCTAAAAGGAGCACATATGTGATAAGCCCCGTTAAATGTACTGAAAAGTCACCTCTATTACTAATTTCGATCGAAACTGATTTTCAGTTTCAATCAAAATCATCAAAAGGGTTGACTTTTCAGTACCTTTAAACTCCCACCACATTCCCTGCCAATCACATATGTGCTCCTGCCCTAGCTCCTATCAATCTAACTGATTTTTTTTCTACAAATATGGTACTATATCTAAACCCTATCACTACTACTCTGAAATGCAACGATCGAGCTCACGGTAGTGGTCCTTCGAACTCCATAAACAAAAAGATCTTCGATGATAGCATTCTGCCACATCGATTGGTTTGCTCGAAAGCACGGTTCCTAAACGAATTTTATTCACCAAAAAGGCCCTATCCGGTGTCAATGGGTTCCGAGGAATCTTCGTAGTAAAAATGGTAGCTCGAGGTATTCATTAGTACCCGGCTACAACACCTTTACTCGTCAGGAAACCTCGGAGAAGCTAAGAAATTTTAATGAAATTCGTTGGACCACCAGTGAGCTCGATCTGATAACAAAAAAGAATACCAAACTACTAGACGAAATTTGAAATTTCCATTAAACCGAGGGCCATGGCCGAAACCAAAAAAGTCAATCCTAAACATTTCCAGCTAAACATTCTCTTTACCAAATTTGGGTTGGGCCCACTGGAAATTTTTTCAAGCAGCACAGTAGGCTGCTTTGAAACTGTCAAATTTTGATCATCCTCGGTTTGCATGCCTGTATTTTCTCGCAGGGTACAGTGCTCCCAAAATCCAGCATACACAAAATTCAACTGAGTACGCTGCAGTTTGGGAGAAGTAGTTTGCGTATAAACGTTAGCAGTGTCCGCTACATACGTCACACGCTCCAAAAGTTCATGGTGTGTCTTGGCGTATGCTTCAAACACTGCTACCGTTGTCGTACATTGCTGTACCCTGGCTATTCCTGCTGTCAGAACCGAATCTACATCGGCTCTGTTGCACCTAAATTCCTCACAAAAATTTAGTTTCTTTTCTTCCACCTTATCTCCTAATTCATCATTTATTTCTAACCCTACTCTCTCACAATTATCACCTAAATCTTCCTTAACATTATCCGCGATTGAGGCATTCTGGGTAATTCCGCTCCTCTCAAATCCCTCACCAATCATTAGTTTCCTAGTAGATGCTAAAAACGGCCCCCGGATATACTCACCGACCGATGACCTTACATTGTCATACTCATCGGTTACCGGTAAGTTTTTAAGCATTTCCCAGCGATCCTGCCTTTTTGGCAGCTTCGGCTTTGAAGAAGCCGCTTTTATACGCTGGTAAATGGCCGTTAGCTTACCATCCGGGTCGGCACGCATGAAATCCGGCAAAGACACCGGTCTAACATTCCGACTGGACCGGGTCTGCCGAGCATCGCGGCCATTTTTCATCTTACTGGGAAACATTTTTTCTTGAACCGCCTTGATTGGAGAAATTGGGAGAGCTATCAAACGTACGTCCGCTTTGAATTCACCTCAGAAGCCTCTTAACGATTTTTAGCAGCAGGCTTCCTTATATAGACTTCTGGCGTGTGAAAATTTGGTTACGAGGGTGTTGCTATGGTAGCGACTATGGAAGGGATGCGCAGTGGGTGAAAATCGTGAAAATCGGAAAATTTGATCAACGTAGGCGTGCATGTTTTCTTCTTCATAGAAATGTCAACTTTTTTCACGACGCATCATACACTGATAAAAATGTAAAGGACAATGGTGTAGGATGGTTGAGGTCTTCCTTGTACAGGTCAGGTGATTTTTTACCAGGAGTGTGCTTGCTGGTGAGTACTTATTAGAATCTACAAATCAGCCGGAATTCCTAGTGGTTAAAATGTGATGAGGATTTAGTCGTTTTAATTCCGGATGTTGCTGATCAGCTGATCTGTGCAATCCTAGTTTGTGTCCGTTTACATCCTCCAGTTTATAACAATTCGAACCTAGTTTAGGAATAATAGTGTTTGCAGGAGAATACGTGTCTGTCAGCTTTGCGTTGAAAGTTTTTGCTTTATTGGAAAGGAAATAGTTTTTCTTCAATACAGTTTCCCCACCTTAAATTCGATAGGTTCTACAGTGGATCTCAAATTATAATACTTCCCGTATTTTTCGTATGCTTTTTCCAAGATTTCCTTTTGTTCATCACTTAATTCCTTTGGTTCATTATTCACATTCTCTCCAAATTCGTTCATTCTTGATTATTTGTCTCCGGAGCTAATATAGTTCCTTCCATAATTGACAAAAATAAAGCATTTTCTGTAGGTTCTCATCCTGATCTGTTTGTTTTTTTTTTCTTTTAGGTACGTTCTGATCGCTGCACCAAAGCCCGACTCACTTTTTTGGACCGTGGGAATGGACCCATATAGTCGATGGACACAACTTGCCAAGGCATCGACGCTATCTTCGGACGACCCAATTTGAGGTGGATGTTTCGCCGTTTTGTAGTTCCTCACACATACGCGGCCAATAGTGCTTTTCCCGGATTTCCCTCATCGTTTTGTAGTACCCAAAGTGGGTTACACTGTGCTCGTCGTCGAGGATCTGAATAGGATCAGCTTTTGGCGGCATATCAACTCAAAACGAGGATCTTTTGAAGTGCAGCTGACTTGCAGAATTGACTTTGATGTTCAAGTCCACCGTAAGTACATCTACCTCATTTACTGCTCTTGATAACGCGTGTGCTAAAATATTTAATTTCCCTTTGTGTATTCTAGAACTATATCATGCTGCTGCAGTTTAAGGACCCATGGAACAAGTCGTGCTGAGTTGCCCTCAACGCTTACTTAATTAAACTATTTCAAGGATTGCGCGTCCGGTGATAAATGAGTACCCTCTACGTAATGGCGCAATTTTTCAATGGCCAAATTGACAGCCAGGCATTATCGTCCCGTTGCAGAATACTTCTTCTGAGCTGATGAAACAAATTTGAAAAGAATGAGGTCACTAAGGAAGCATCAGATTCTATTGAAATCTGGATTTTTCAGGATTGGTGGAAAAGTGAGTACACTTTTTATTTCATTAAATGCTTTGTCTGCCTCTTCAGGCCCAATAAGTTTAGTTGTCAACTTTTTTTTTATTAGGTTCGTGATTAGTGCCAGGACGGTACTGTAGTTTTGTTTAAGTTGCTTGTAGAACCTACGATTCCCATCAATCTTCATGCTTCTTTTAACGTTGTTGGCGAGGGATAGCTAAGAATCGGTTCTAGTTTTGAACTATCTATCGATCTCTGACAAAATATATGCTAAATAGGAAATACGTTTATGGATTTTTTAAGACTTTTCCACACTTATTGACAAGTTTGCTCTACTCAGTCTTTCCGCTACCATTTTCAATAATTTCAAGTGTTCTTCTAACGTTTCAAAGGTGACGACTATGTCATCCAGGTAAATAAAAACCTGAGCCTCATAATTCTGAATCGGGGAATAAAAATCTAAGATATATATTTTTTAATATTTACTCCTAACATTATTAATCATTTCTTGATTTGTCGTTAATTTGCTACTTACGGATTTTATAAAGAAATGTCTCTATTGACGCCAGGATAGATTGGCCGATACTCAGGACCCGGGATGCAGTTAACACGAAAGGGTAATTAGAAATAATCACGCGAGGATTCTATTCGTGAACAGTGTCACTGATAGTGAATTTCATTTTCGATAAATGCAAGACGAAAAATACATTAAATAACGTCAATAGTTCAAGTGTTTTTACAATATTTACAAACATTTGTAGTATATCAACTGCACCCATCACCACTTTTTGGAAAACAGGTGCGACAGGGTGAGCGATCGCGCGCGTTACCCGGAGTCTGTCTGTGCAGAAGAGGACCGTTTGCTTCGCCTGTCAACAAACTAACTGTTCGGTTCTAATGCTGATGCTGCTGCTGCTACGTTGGAAGTATGAAGGAAAGAGTGGGATAGACAAAGGATATTCTGAGATCATCTGGCTTATGGAGGAACAATGAGCTGCTGCCGTAGATGGTTACACAGCCGGTTTAGTCTGGTGCGAAAATGCGTAGAACTATCCGAGACGAGAAAACTATTGTTTCGCACCGTCTAGACTGCGATCAGCTGTGCACTGTGCCGGTGCTACAGCCGAGATACCTCGAATTAAACGACACTCTGGGTTGAGGAGGATTGTCATGGTGGTCAAAATAATTGCAGCGAAATACGGTTCACGTTCAGCGTGAATATACTCCCCGCCTTGAATCTCTTCGGGATTCAACTTAGTTGCTGTTCTTCTTCGTGGTGACTGGATCATTTCTGTAATGGTAATTCATCTTCGTCTTTGTGTGGAATCCTCCATGTCATTGTACATGAGGTTGCTTGGGTAGGTCGTGCAAGCGTTGCTGGCTGTCTAAGTCTGAACTGAAGGGGTTTGCTCGTACAGCGCTGTCCGGTTTGGCTAAGTAGAAGCTGTAGGCGATCCGTGTCTGGACCCTGGGTACTAGTTGGTGGTCTTTGATCTGTCTGTCCATCAAATATCGCAATGTCAGCGCAGGTAGCTTGCGGTCCAGCGGAGTCTGAAGTGGCGGTAAGGATGTTGCAAGTTGGTGTACGATTGTTTGGCTAGCATGTTTGCGATTCAGCAGAATGTGGAATGGCAATCGTGCATTACGCTCCGATGAAGCGGTCCCGCAGGTTCAATGCGGTCCGGATTACGTTCCGGAGTTGTAACTTCTTGGTCGTTCTCCTAATCAAAAAATACCATAAACGAACGATAACCCAAATTATAGAACTATTTCACAAATGATTTGGATGATACTCCGAACACGTCGTTAATCAAAATAACCATACAAGCATATTAGGGTCGTAGCTTGACGGATGATGAGGGACAGGCAAGGTACGCGTCAGTCTGGATTCCGCTCCGGATTGGTGTCCCATCGTTGACTTGACGTCACATAGTGGATACGACGTGGTGATTGTGATTTGTTGGAGGCTTCGTTTCTCCAGAGTATTGGTTTCATTTGGGGTTCATTTTTGGTTTCATTTAGCTTGTTAGGGGAAGACGCGCTAAGATCGTTCGGCTGGGTAAGAGGGACCACAGCTAGTTCTATATGAAAATCTCAAGATTCTTACCAATACTCAATACAGAAAAGATTAACAACATGTTTTTATCATTCTGAAACACCTAGTAGTACCCAAACTTATGAAGCTTCAAAACAATAAATAAAAGCAAACTACTTGTTCGATGAGGCTCTCAGGATCTAATTTTGAAATCAACAAGTATGATACTTTTTGATGAACAAACGATGTTTTCTTACGTTTGTTGGTACCTGTTTCCTTCAGTATGTTGTACTGCTTCTGTGGCGGTAGATAAAGTTATGTAAAAATGCATGAAACATGTGAAAATATACCATATTGTGAAAAATGTAAACCAGGGGTAAGACGGATCACTTTTAACGGGGTAAAAGCGTCACCCTTCTTTTTCGCGTAGTGACTTTGTTTAAAACTGAATTGATGTTTTCCAGATCAAGTAGTAAGTGACATTCGTTTCTCTTAGCTATATCCAAGAATAAATACCTGGATTCATTTATACATATATGGTGAGATGTGACTATTCTTATTAATTTATATTCCCAAAATAAAATAAATTTTGTTTTGCTTCCGGGTGATATCCGGAACATGTCCGTGAGTGTGGTCCACCATACTCAATTTAATTTTTTTAGAGTTCTCATGTGATTTGATGATGGATTTCGATTTAATATGATTTTGACCACTTCCCCGGTTGTACCCGGAACATGTCAGGGTGTAGAATCAGAATATGACTCACATTGAACATATTTTCTAATCATCTTGCGATTTTTTGTTTCACAATATAGGTTTGTATCATTTTTGATCACTTCTAGATCTGTACTTATGGTCACTGGAACCTGTTCCGGCCATATCTATGGAACCGATGACCGATTCCAAAGATATTCATTTATGATCTATGTGCCCATAGTACCATTCATGAGGCACTAGTTGTGCCCATAGTACCATTCATGAGGCACCATTGCATAAAATTGGACGGAACAAATCCATCATGGTCCGTCTTACCCTATTGGTGGTCCTTCTTACCTCGCTTGTAAAAGAAAGATTTTGTTTTTATCGGTCAAATTTTTCGTTTACGAAAGTACACCATGAATAAAAATCATGAAATCGTGAACGTTGTCCGCAAAATAAACGTCACGTTCACGTTTATGCGAACTAAGTCATAAATTCGAAAGAACTAGTTGTTCAGATTATCGTGATTTTTTGTTCACGAATATCGGAACGGTTTTTTTTTTGCGTGAGAAAGGCTTGATCATTAGCTTTACGGAGTCGATAATTCATTGTTCATTTTTTGGAGTCTAATAGGAGTTGGGCCGAATACTCGCGGCATACCCGTGGCTATAGGGGTACATTGAGGCTTGGGGTGTGATTTCGTTGTCTCATCAGAGCGTTGTTGCTAGTATATGAACGGTAGTACGGTTCTAGATTCAACTTCTTTAACATTTGTTTTGCACAGTTGTGCATTACAGTAGTGCTCCGTTTTTTGGACGTTCCGATTTCAGCACATTCCGCATGTTCCGTTTTTGGCAACAAGTCTACTTCGTCTTGAACGATTGCATTGAGATAGTTTGCAGGTAACGCGTGTAATAATCACTTCAGGAGGATTATTAATAAATTAAATTCTTATATTGTCACGGACAAAAGCTACTTTCTTCTCCCGTTAGAGAGAGTCTTTCGCTTTTTGGTTCAGACACCGATTTTTGATTCTAGCAGCTACTTTTTTCTCCGGTTAAGAAGAAAAGGTTTCGCTTCTAGGCCGAAAGTTCTTTCGGATTCAAAAATGAAGAATCTGGAGTAACCTACGAACTTTATTTTACTACTTAAAATGATCTTTATTTCTTGTGTTTGTGTGGTTTACATTTATGAATTTTTTCAAGTGACACAGATGCGTCTTTTCAACTTTAGTTCATTTGAGATTTTAATTATTATTTACAGTTACTAGTCCTATCAGGCCTATTTTAAAGTATGACCACCTTGGTGGGATTGGTTTGATTTGAATTGGAAAAAGGAGACTACTTATAACTACTATTTACAACTACAACTAACCTACAACTACTATATGCACCTAACCTACTATATACAAGTTGCTTATCAAAGCATGTTCTGATAAATTACATTTTTCTGCAAATTTAGTCTTAATTTCGTTAATTCTTGAATCTATTTTGGCAATTCTTGCCTCTTCGTGTAAATTTGTTATTCTAGTGTCGAAAGGACGATCAAGAACCATCCTCAGCACTCTATTTTGTGCGACCTGAATTTTGTTCCTGTGAGTCTGTGCACATGATTCCCACACCGGAGCTGCGTAGAGGATCGCAGGTGCTATGATTTGTTTGTAGACGGCCAGTTTGTTTACCCTTGAGAGGCGAGATCTGCGGCAAATCAGCGGATACAGACACCTAACCAAGGCAGAACACTTGACTACTGTTTTCTCTACATGCGAACGGAAGAGGAGCTTTTCATCAAACAACATCCCGAGATAGGTTACTTCGGCGGACCACTCAGCCCTTGTGCCATCCATGATTACAGTACAAGATGGAGCCGGTTTCAGTTTGGGCGATTGCCGATGGAGGAACATGATCGCTTGTGTTTTGGAGGCATTGATTTTGATTTTCCACATGGTGGCATAATCAGCAAAGGCGTTAAGGCATCGTTGAAGTTTGTTCGTTATTTCGCGAGGCATCCTTCCTTTGACGGCTATTGCGGTATCATCTGCGAACAGGAAAAACACGCAACCGTCTCCAAGGGGAGGAATGTCGGAAGTGTAAATGCTGTAAAGCAAGGGGCCCAGCAGACTGCCTTGCGGGACTCCTGCTGGGATGGAAAACGTGTCGGAAAGGCAACCATTCAACGATACCTTAAACGACCTTTGCTGAAGGTAGTTACGGGTGATTTTAACCAGATGTAATGGGAAGTTGAAGTTACAAAGCTTGTACACAAGTCCGTCATGCCAAACATTGTCAAACGCCTTTTCAACGTCTAACAAGGCCATGGCTGTGGACTTGGATACAGCTTTGTTACTTCGGATGTTATTCATCACCCGTACTAGCTGATGATTGGTAGAGTGCCCCTTTCTGAATCCAAACTGTTCCGGAAGGAGAATGTTGCTTTCCTCCACAAACTTGAGCAAACGATTGAGAATGAGTTTCTCGAACAATTTGCTCAGCGCTGAAAGGAGGCTGATTGGTCTGTAGCTTGAAGACAATGTTGGATCCTTACCGGGTTTGCGGATTGGTATGATTTTTGCTACTTTCCAGATGTTTGGAAAGTAGTGCAGTTCCAAACATCTGTTGAAGATAGCGGTTAGAAGAGACTGCACTTTCATGCTGAGTCTCTTCAAGATCAAGTTGAATATGCCGTCAAACCCGGGGGCCTTCATGTTCTTGGTGCATTTCAGCGCTGAGCAAATTTGTTGTACTGTAATCATATCCACCGGAGGCACGACACAAGGGGAGGCATCTAGGTTTTGAACGCATTGCGCAACCTGATCTTCGAGCTGACTTTGGATAGACGAGCCAAGCAAATGCGATGAAGCGACATGCTCGCCGATCGCATTTGCTTTCTCCTGTGGGGTTATTAAAAGCCGATCGTCATCATTTTCGACTCTGAGAGGTGGAACGGGTTTGGGATGAGTTTTCAGCACCTTGGCTACCTTCCAGAATGGACGGGAGCGGTCATCCAGATTCTGGACAACACGCCCGAAACTTTCATTTCGGAGTGAGTCCATTCTGGAAGCAATCTGCCTGTTCAGATCGGCCATTTCACGTTTCCTCGCTAGATCTCCAGTCCTCTGAAACTGGCGTCTACGCACATTTCTCAAGCGAATCAGTAATTGGGTGTGGGAATCAATGGAAACAAACTTACCCCTCACAGGAACTTGTCGAACACACGTCTCGTCAGCCACGGATATGGCCTGGTGGAGCCCTTCCAGTGCCCGGTCGATGTCCTCTACGGTGTCAAGTGGCGGATTTTCATCGATGTTTCTGTCGACCACATGCCCAAACTGCACCCAGTTGACATGATGGTAGTCTTTGCGCAGGCTTTGAGCAGGTTCCACGTGGGTGCCGACTTCAGCCACCACCGGTTGATGGTCGGAACTGAGATCGTTGATCGCCATCGGTTTGGATAGTCCAATGTTCGATAGAAAAAAGTCCAACGTGGAAGGGTTTCCCGCCGGAGAGATGAATGTCGGTTCATCAGGGAATTTCACTGTATACAGCCCATGCTGCGAGTGGTCGAAGAGCAGACGTCCGTTCTGATTCCGCTGATAGTTCCGCCATGCTTCGTGGCGGGCATTTAAATCGCCCCCAATGACGAATCGTGAGCTCGTGCGAGTGATGGTGGTCAGATCATGCTTGAATTGGATGCCTAATCCATTACTGGCAGCACACTGACGAGGGCAGTATACGGCGACGAACCGGACGTTTCCGGTTGGTGATTCCACCTCGACACTAAGGGCCTCGATGATAGAAGTGCGAATATGCGGCAGCGTGCAGAACTTGATTCCTTTCTTGATGATGATCGCAACACCACCCCCCCTGGAGTCAATACGATCAAGCCGGATAATGTGGTGATCAGGCAACCAAAAGCTGTCACCGGATTTAAGATGGGTCTCTGTTAGGAGGCCCACGTCGATACTATGCTTGCGGAGGAAGTCAGCAAGCTCGAGTCTTTTTGCTCTTACAGAGCATGCGTTCCATGTGACGACAGTTATCGGTTTAGACACCATACTGAATAATAAACTTACCGAGCACTTGGATCTGTTCGGGCTTGCTGCGGCACTGGCGAAGAGCGCTGGTCATGTCGACGAAAATCTTCATCAGCTCATCCGCAGAGAAGAGATCGGGATTGGCGTTTTGTGCTGGTGGTTGTCTCCAGAATCCAGGGGGGGATGGAGAGCTTTGTCCAGCTGAGGCACCAGACGTTTCTTGGCGGGGGCCGGATTGCACCCGTGGATTTGCTTGACCGTGTTGCGTAGCAGGAAGAGGCGGGAAATCCTCCAGTCTGAATGCCGGCGTATTTTCCTTCTTTCGTCCTGGTTGATTTCTTGTGGACGCCTGCTTTCGGATCCGTTTGAAATCTTCGCGTTTGGGGCACTGTTTGTCGGACCCTTGATGAGCGCCATTACAGTTGGCGCATTTGGCCGCTTCCGACTCGTCGACAACACACTCGGAGGAGATATGGTTTTGGGCGCATTTTCCACAGCGCGGCTTGACGAAGCAGTTTCGGGTGCCGTGCCCGAAATTCAGGCAACGTTGACACTGGGTGACGTCGTGACGGCCGCCACGGTATGGCTCCCATCGGACAATGATGGAATTGATGGAGCGGATAGCCTTCAACGCATTGAGCGTCACCGTACCCTTCTGGAAATGCACCAGGAAAAGACAATCTGGATACCTTTTGACGTTCTCGTCCCTCCTTGTCATCCGGAAGACGGCAGTTGGGGCCAGCTTGTAGCGGTTCTTGATTTCCGCTTCTATCAGCTTCGGGTCAAAATTCGGTAGACCCCTGATGACGACCTTGAATGGTTTCTCGCCGGGAATGTCGTGGGTGAAAAATTCCACCTTGGTAGTCCTCAGGTGGGCAACGACCAAGTCATACTCCGCTTTCGTGCGGAGCATAACCTTGGTGCCGACTCTGCCCAACTTGAATTCGGCTTTAACGCCCAGCGAAGCCAGATCTGCGATGAGATCGTTAAGATGGGCATTTTTTACCACCAACGTATTAAGTATTACCATCTGCTATTATGTATTACCACCAAATCCCCACTTCGGATTATAGCTTTAAAAAAACACGTCTATCACCTTTCACGATCCAAGACTAAGAGACCGATTCGTACTCGATTTTATTTCAATCAACTCGTTTGCTATAAAACGATAACTCTCATCTCTCTCTTCATACATGTTCTCTTACTCGAACTGTCACGGTGGATTCCGACATTTTTATCGAACACAACAATCCTTCCTCCTTTAGTCTTGACAATAATATTCATAATCTTTCTTACATAGAAGCAAAATGAAAATTCTATACTTATTACATTCGAACTCATTACACCACATTATTTCCTGTCCATATTTAAGTTAAATTCTGAACTCAGTTTTTCTGATAACATTTAACTAATAACATTTAATTAATTTATAAATCATTAAGCAAAAAACCTGATAAGTTGTAATTTTGCTAGCGAAGCATATTTGATTGTATCACTTTTCTCTTGTTATTTTTTTTTTTTTTTTTTTTTTTTTTTTTTTTTTTTTTTTTTTTTTTCGAACGAATCCCAGGACTCATACGGCTATTGTAATTTCTGCTGGAATTTCCGTTGATCTTCTGCTGCTTGAACATCTTGTTTCTTTTCCCGCGAATAACTGCGCGTTGCAATCGGACTACGTCTCGCATACTTGAAACGCCTACTTTCAATATCTGAATTCTTGGGAGTCGTTGAAACCTCTGGAAATCCATAAAATTCCTCCTCATCAGACTCGGAGAATTCTCTTCTTCGCTTTTCTCTTTGTATAGGGATTTGAATCTTCGTGCTGGTCTGTTTCGGGATAATCCTTAGTTGGTTCCGGTGAGCATTACAATTGTATCTACCAAAAGAAATTTCAAATACATTAAGTGAAATTCTTTTGACAAACTTTGCCTCTATCCATTTCTCAAACACCTGCTTGTCATGATTTTTATATAAAATTCTGTCTCCTATCACAAGGTTGAGAAATGGATCTGGGAGAGGCGTAAAATTCTTATCTACATCAAGTTCTTCCCTACTTGGTTTAACGTTAATATATTCCTTATAACTGCGCTTGGGATGCAAAAGATCGATTAGATTTTTAGGTTTGAAACTTAGCAGCTTCTCAGATGGGAATTTTTCATCTGAAGCTGAGCATGTATTTCTATAATTAGCCAAGAAAAAAGTAACTCGGTCCTCTGCATCCAATGTCCTCGTCTTGGGATCTAATAAAAACTTTTTAAGAATATCTTTTACAACCCTCACCATTCTCTCTGCCTGCCCATTGCTACTTGGGTTGTATGGGGGACTTTTCAATACTTTTATTCCTTGACGTTTCATAAATGAAACAAAGTGTGCTGAATTGAATGGTGGGCCGCCGTCCGTTACTAATACGTCCGGAAGACCAAATCGTGCAAACATTACCGTGAACTTTTTAATGACCTTACTAGCATCTGTCCCATATTTCATTATTTCAACTTCTAACCATTTTGTGTAGCTGTCTACTATTAATAAGTACGTTTTTGATTCAAAAAAGAAAAAATCAGCATGAATGCGGCTAAAAGGACGTGTTGTGGGAAACCAAAAAGTATTACATGCAGGTTTTGGGACAGCTGACATTTTCAAACATGACTCACATTGCTTTACGAAGTTCTCTATGTCTTTATTCAGTTCAAACCAAAACACACATCGACGAGCGGCTTGCTTCATTTTAACTATTCCGTTATGATTGGAATGTAGCAACTTTAAAATATTATCTCTAAAGGATGCCGGAATAAATACTCTGTCTTGGTACAACACACATCCTTCTACCATCTCGAGATCATTACGCATGGAGAATATGGGCTGCCAACTTTTTTCGACTTTATTTGGCCATCCATTAACCACATAGTTTAGCACTTTTGATAAAAATAAATCCAATCTAGATTCTTTTGCAATTAAAGAATAATCCAACGGAAACTCATCAAAAAAATTTATACTTTTGATGCAACCACTGTCAAGCTTCTTGGGAACACTTTGATCCAGGGGAAATCTGGAGCAGAAGTCTGCATTTCCCATCTTAGACGAGGGCCTGTAACGAATTTCAAACTCATATATGGACATTTCCATAACATACCGCTGTAAACGAGTCACACATAGCTGATGCTTACCTTCTTTTCCAAATATTCCTAGGAGTGGTTTATGATCTGTGTAAATTATAAATTTTTGTCCAAATAAGAATTTATGGAATTTTTTAACTGTACATACCAATGCCAAAGCTTCTAGATGCAGAATTGGGTACGATTTTTGTGCAGAGTTTAATGTAAATGATGCAAAACTAATTGGTTTCTCTATTCCATCAACCAAATGCGCTATTACTCCTCCAAGTCCATAGCTACATGCATCTGATACAACAATAATCGGTTTAGCTGGATCATAAAATTCCAATAAATTTGCATTCAATAATGCCTTTTTACTTTCTTCAAATGATTTTTGACACTTATCATTCCAATTGAACCTTGTGTCTTTTCGCAATAAAGCATACAAACAACTCAACTGCGCTGACAAATGTGGAACGAACTTCCCATAAAAATTAATTAAACCTAGGAATGCTTTGAGTTCAGTGACATCTCTAGGAACTTTTGCTTTTTCAATAGTTAATAACTTTTCCGGAGACGGCAATAGACCATTCTCTGTTATCAAATGTCCTAAATAAGTGAGTGATTGTACGAAAAATTTGCATTTATTGAAATTAACCTTCAAGTTTGCTTTTTGAAGCCTAACAAGCACCAAATACAAATTTTTGTAGCATTCTTCTTTAGTTTTTCCCGCTATAAGCACATCATCTAGATAGCAACATACTTGCTTCAATCCTATTAAAATCTGGTCCATAGTTTTCTGAAAAATAGATGCGCTAGATGAAGCTCCTTGAGGCAACCGATTATAATAGTATAGTCCCTTAATAGTATTTATAACTACATACTTTCTAGACCTTTCTGAAAGCTTAAGTTGCGTGTATGCCCCCGCCAAGTCAATGCAACAATACCATTTACATCCAGCTAATGATGCAAAGATATCTTGTGCTTGTGGAAGAGGATATGTGTTTGGGATTATAAATTTATTGATTGATACCTTACAATCTATGACCATTCTTATATCATTATCCTTTTTAGGAATTATCACAACCGGAGAAGCCCACTCACTAACCTGAATTGGAGTAATCACGTTTTGTTTCTCAAGAGAATCCAGATGTTCAATCACTTTTTCTCTTAATTTAAACGGCACGTCATACGCTTTCCGAAATATTGGTTTTTCCTCCCTAAGCACCAAATCCGCTTCAAATCCTAGTATTGGATATGTAAAATCACTGTCAAAAACTTTTGGAAATTTAGATTTAATTTCAGAGTTTATATTACCCATGACTATCTGCTGCGCCGAATTTTGTTCCGGATCATTCCGCATTGCATTAATATTCATAGCATTCCCAAAAGTTTTTCGCCAGTTAGGATAGAATCTATCAAGCCAGTTTCTGCCTAGCAGAGGAACGAAATTTCTCGGACTGTCTAATATAATCAATTTAACTAGATCCTGAACATTATTCACAGACGCGTTAACCGTTATTTCGCCAAAAATATTAAGCTGTTGTCCATCAACTACAACCAGGCGACTGTTACAACTGGTGACTCCTAAACTCTTGAAATATTTTTTGTAGGTATCAAAACTGATGACTGTAATCGCTGCGCCGCAATCTATCTCCATATTTAAACTGATGCCCTCGACTAACACTTCTACAAGACATGGCTTACTGAAGCGACTACTCGCAATCATCATGCACGGGTAATCTTCTTCTTCGTTATCTGAATCTCTGATTTGTAAACGTTTAAAATCATAGCTATTAATATCTTCAGGATCCGGTTCCACAAAGTTAACAACTTTTTGGTTTTTAAACTGATAACAGTTACGCTTTACATGACCTCGCTTTCTACAGAAATTGCAAATCACGTTAAAGTGAGGATTTTCATCTCGGTATCTGCGGTTATATGGATAACTATTTCTGTGTGGCTGTGTTTCATAATAATTTTGTCGGTTATATCTATTATTTCCATATTGTACGTGCTGACGTTCTTGACTAGTACTTCTGTTGCGATAACCATTATTATACCCTCTTAAAATGGGCCTTGCACTTGAACTACCTCCTTTATTCGCATCATTCCAATGCATTTGATTCCCCAATCTATATCTCACTGAGTTTACTTCCCTAGGTTCTTCACTACGCTCTGCCAACTCTTTTGCACGACATTTAGCTAACTCACTCCTAATCACCATTTGTTCTACTTCGTCCAAGGTCATATCGTCTTTCATTAATAGCTTATGTTTTAAATCTTGATCCCTTAATCCAAAAACAATTTTGTCCTTAATGGCCTCATCCTTATGACCGCCAAAGCCACACTGACTTGCTAGAAGTTTCAAAGCTAACACATAATTTTCTGCAGGCTCATCCACCCCCTGCGCACGCGCATGAAATTTATGCCGATGCATCATATTGGGCTGTGCTTTGTCTAACCTTTCCTTTAACTTAGCTATCATTTCCGCATAAACAATCGTCGAAATTTCTTGTCCCGGATAAATAAGCTCAATTTCATCGAAAATCACGGGTCCGCTCAATGTTATAAATAGATTTTTCCTGTTATTATCCGCAATATTATTTAACTGATACAAAATGTCAATTCTTTTCATGTAACTAGCAAAGCTTGTGCCACGTACATAGTGGTCAACACTTCCAATCAACGAAGACATGTTAACGGTGAAAATACCAAATAACACCCTACAATAAAACCAAGAAAGAAAGAGAAAAAAAAACAGTGTGCAACGACTTACTTGATTTTTAGGTTCTTACTGTTTCTGGCGTTACACTTCTTCGGGCGGCAGTGTTGCTATTACCGCCGCGCACCGATGTTATGATTCTCTTCTGCTGCGTTACAGAACGCTTCTCGCCGATGTTACTATATTTCCTTCTGAAACTCTCTGGAACTCGCACCACTAACGCTATTATATACTCTCCCTCAACTTTGGCTATAGAACACTCACTCTCCGAACTACGGACTTTGATTACAACTCTCACTGCGCTGCTGAACTCTCATGCTGATAAATGTTCACCCATTTGCCACTCTGCTCAAACAAATCACGATGCAATCACACTACCGCTGCCGATATATCTCACTCTCACAGTGCAGTAACCTCTGTCTATTCTCTTTTTCTGTTTGCCGCTCCTTGCTTTGTTCAATTTAGTCCATGCTTCTCAGATGCTTTGTTCAACTATTTTTCCACACTTCTGTTCAGCTTTACAAAATGGCGAACTACACTGGGAACCCAGCTACACTCTGCAAATTACAATGGCTACGATTCTGCTGGCAAACCACGTGCCCACACTGGCCGCTTTTGCTATCTTTTAGGTTTTTTTTTTTTTTTTCACTTTCTTAAACTGATTTATTTTAATTAATATACTTTGAATGTGTCAGCTGCCTTTATTCAAACTAGCTCACTGACTATCTGTATATGAACCTTTTTCAGACACATGCAGTATTAGCATCACAAAAAAAAACTTCTAATTGCTTCACGGCCTTACATGCACGCTTCCACGAACCGCTGCAAAACTAAAATTTAACAATATCTACTGCTTAATTTCACTTTTTAAATTGATATTAGTTTTCACTCGTCGCCACTATTAAGTATTACCATCTGCTATTATGTATTACCACCAAATCCCCACTTCGGATTATAGCTTTAAAAAAACACGTCTATCACCTTTCACGATCCAAGACTAAGAGACCGATTCGTACTCGATTTTATTTCAATCAACTCGTTTGCTATAAAACGATAACTCTCATCTCTCTCTTCATACATGTTCTCTTACTCGAACTGTCACGGTGGATTCCGACATTTTTATCGAACACAACACAACGGAGGTAGCTTTACTTTTGCCGTGCTTGTGTCGGCAACGTCACCGAAATCTCCGACATCACTACCGTTTGTCGCAGTAGCATCGCCGCGAGAAATCGTGCAATCGGACTGGCTCCGATTCTTCTTCCTCTTCTTGCTGCGCTTTCCTTTTGCAGCTGGCTGGGTATGCTCATCGATGGGAAGAACAGCAAACCTGTTCGATGTGGACACACCGGAGCTTCCTTCACCGGCGTCCTGGTCCTTCACCGGGCTTCGCGAGCGATGCTTCCCCATTTCGGGGCACACACACACGCGCGACAAATCACGTACGAAAGAGCGCGAACACTATCTCAAAAAATATCTTTCCGAACAACTCACGAGAGCGAGCTTAAACCGAACTAAACTGCTTGCCGTTCAAGCAGAGAATCACTTTATTTTACTGTCCATTCTCTACAAGGTGATCTTAAATCTATGTGTTACATTAGCGATCTATAATTATGTAAAAAAAATTCCTGACACTATGGAATTTTCCATGTCTTTCTCAATACCGAACTTTAAACTAATTTCTGCTAGATATAATCGAATTTCTACGCGGGCCTAAAAAGGGCTAATCTATGTTTTTATGTCCTTTTTGGAACCGGGCTTTCTCAATATGCTCATGAATTTATTGCTTTTTGTAACTCATATCCGATATGGCTCTACAAATAAGAATTCGAACATTTGTAACGTTCAAACATTAGATTATTATCGTTCGTGAAGGATGAACAAAGAGAGAAAACTAATCTTAATCTACATGCGCAGATATGTCGCGAGTGGGCGTGTTTATCCTACTCGAGCACATATGCATCCTAAGTAAATAGTGCAGTCAGATTATGTAATCGAGCTGTCGTTGCGTTGCCCTACTTTTCATTTCTTTTCCTTGGCCTTGGTATCGACATCAGCTAAGACTTATGCAACTATGCGGGTTGGCTTATATAATTGATCCTAAATTAATTGCCTCGCGGTAACATATATAGTGCTAGGAAACACCATCGGATAAAAAACGAGTCCTTTCTAAACGATCAAACGTATCTCCATTTCCAGTTGAAGTTCATTGAAGCTGATCCAGAACTTGGACATTCAAGCCACACGAACAATGTTGACTGTTGAACCGGAGCACCACTCGTTTAAACAGCGTCTTGACTGACGAAGGTACGACTTTATTTATTATTATAGCTCAACATCCAAAGGTGCTACGTCGAGAGGGTTTTTAGGATAAGAGAGAAACGTATTCAAAACAATCGACTTTGGCAACCTATGCCTAAGTGGTTTCTAGCAACACTGTCATTTCAATCCAGATGTGCGTTGCTCGATTGGTTCTGGCTTTGACAGTTGGGTTGGCTTACAATCAACCAGTCCGCTTCTCTCTTATCCTAGACCCTCTCTAGTGCTACGAAAAGCTCCAATCTGGGTTTAGTTATTTGTTTCAAAGGTGTGAGCTTCGACCTTCCATCTCTTTACGTAAGAGCTAGGTTATTTACTCGCCGATTTTATGCTTTGCCATTGTGCACCATGTTTAACGTGCAACTTACGTGATTGGGTTTGATGGTTTTGGCAATAATCTCAAACAAAAGGTCGTCATCTGAAATTTAATGTTGTTACATTAAAATTCAAGACCAACAATTGAAATGGCCTTAACTCCATTTTGTAAACAAACCTTGTAAGGCCATTATCTCGAGAACCGAAGCCCGCAAAGATAAACCAACATAATGAAAAGTGTGATTTAGGTTTGTGAATAAAGGTTTCATTTCGCGAGAAAATGGCCTTACAAGGTTTGTTGTTTACAAAATTGAGTTAGGGCCATTTCAATTGCTGGTCTTGAATTTCTTGGATTTATCTTAAACTGATGTATAGCTTCAAATTGGTATGAGGTCTGAACAAAATATAGCGGCAATCCATGTTAATAATTTTCTCCAGTAAGAATGCGATCAAACAAAGAATGGATCATACCTCCAGATCAAAAACTGACACACTTACCCATCTTGTGATCACGGTGGATCTGATCCTATTGAACCAAGTGATAACCAGATAGTAAAGACAATACTAGTTGGCGCCAGCATCAGTGGTTTAAAAATGCTTCGCGCTAATGGCATAGTTCCCCTGCCGAAGAGCATTCCACAATGATGTCTTGGTTAGCTTTAGTTTTGTAATACTATTTGAATTATCATTTGTCAATAGCAAGACCAACAATTGAAATGGCCTTAACTCCGTTTTGTAAACAAACCTTGTAAGGCCATTTTCTCGCGAACCGACGTCCGCAAAGGCAAACCAACATAATGCACAGGTAGGGGAAATTCTCCTGTACCCGATTGTGGTTTAGGTTTGCGAATGAAGGTTTCGGTTCGCGAGAAAATGGCCTTACAAGGTTTGTTTACAAAATGGAGTTAAGGCCATTTCAATTGTTGGTCTTGAAAGGATCTTTTGAAGCCTTAAACACATATTTCAATAAAATTAATCAACACGACTTGATTGATACACTTTCATTCATACAAAAGATGAGATAATTTTTTAACTTGAAAAATATTACGCTGAAATGCACAAATTTAAAATGACAATGACAAATGTTGCAGCACATCTCAAATGTGGGACTCCATTTCCTACTGATTAAATTCTTGTTCTGGGCCTAGCTTTTTTTCTACTAAATACAGTTTCACTCAAACTACCTACTTTCTATCCTTTGTTTTAAGAATAAAGGAGCACATATGTGAGAGGCCCCGTTAAAAGTACTGAACAAAGTATCCAGTACCCTTAAACTCCCGCCACAAACCCTGCCAATCACATATGTGCTCCTGTTCTAGCTCCTAACTGATTAAAAATGCTTCTCAGGGTGGTATCACATTTCCCGAAGATTCATTTTCCAAAATGGACCATTTACATGAAAGTATAAAATCATGTGCTTTCAAAACGGAAAAAGTTATTTCTTTATTCAAAATTTTGCTAATGGGAATATTGTCTTCTTTATTCAAATATCATATTAAAAAAACAACAATAAGCAAACAAAAAAGATAAAAACAAAAAATAAATAAAACAACGCAATCAACACTCAAAGAAGAAATTATTCCCATTTCAATATATTTTTTAAAGCTTTCTTATTTTTAAAATTCTTAAACGAAAATATTGCCGAAAACGTTAAACTGATCAATGGCCCAATCTCAAATTAAAATCCGGGAAATATGATACTACTCTTTCTACTAGCTAGCTACTATAAGTGAATGGTAAATTTTGAGGTAGCTAACTAACAAGCTAAAAGGAGCACATATGTGATAAGCCCCGTTAAATGTACTGAAAAGTCACCTCTATTACTAATTTCGATCGAAACTGATTTTCAGTTTCAATCAAAATCATCAAAAGGGTTGACTTTTCAGTACCTTTAAACTCCCACCACATTCCCTGCCAATCACATATGTGCTCCTGCCCTAGCTCCTATCAATCTAACTGATTTTTTTTCTACAAATATGGTACTATATCTAAACCCTATCACTACTACTCTGAAATGCAACGATCGAGCTCACGGTAGTGGTCCTTCGAACTCCATAAACAAAAAGATCTTCGATGATAGCATTCTGCCACATCGATTGGTTTGCTCGAAAGCACGGTCCCTAAACGAATTTTATTCACCAAAAAGTCCCTATCCGGTGTCAATGGGTTCCGAGGAATCTTCGTAGTAAAAATGGTAGCTCGAGGTATTCATTAGTACCCGGCTACAACACCTTTACTCGTCAGGAAACCTCGGAGAAGCTAAGAAATTTTAATGAAATTCGTTGGACCACCAGTGAGCTCGATCTGATAACAAAAAAGAATACCAAACTACTAGACGAAATTTGAAATTTCCATTAAACCGAGGGCCATGGCCGAAACCAAAAAAGTCAATCCTAAACATTTCCAGCTAAACATTCTCTTTACCAAATTTGGGTTGGGCCCACTGGAAATTTTTTCAAGCAGCACAGTAGGCTGCTTTGAAACTGTCAAATTTTGATCATCCTCGGTTTGCATGCCTGTATTTTCTCGCAGGGTACAGTGCTCCCAAAATCCAGCATACACAAAATTCAACTGAGTACGCTGCAGTTTGGGAGAAGTAGTTTGCGTATAAACGTTAGCAGTGTCCGCTACATACGTCACACGCTCCAAAAGTTCATGGTGTGTCTTGGCGTATGCTTCAAACACTGCTACCGTTGTCGTACATTGCTGTACCCTGGCTATTCCTGCTGTCAGAACCGAATCTACATCGGCTCTGCTGCACCTAAATTCCTCACAAAAATTTAGTTTCTTTTCTTCCACCTTATCTCCTAATTCATCATTTATTTCTAACCCTACTCTCTCACAATTATCACCTAAATCTTCCTTAACATTATCCGCGATTGAGGCATTCTGGGTAATTCCGCTCCTCTCAAATCCCTCACCAATCATTAGTTTCCTAGTAGATGCTAAAAACGGCCCCCGGATATACTCACCGACCGATGACCTTACATTGTCATACTCATCGGTTACCGGTAAGTTTTTAAGCATTTCCCAGCGATCCTGCCTTTTTGGCAGCTTCGGCTTTGAAGAAGCCGCTTTTATACGCTGGTAAATGGCCGTTAGCTTACCATCCGGGTCGGCACGCATGAAATCCGGCAAAGACACCGGTCTAACATTCCGACTGGACCGGGTCTGCCGAGCATCGCGGCCATTTTTCATCTTACTGGGAAACATTTTTTCTTGAACCGCCTTGATTGGAGAAATTGGGAGAGCTATCAAACGTACGTCCGCTTTGAATTCACCTCAGAAGCCTCTTAACGATTTTTAGCAGCAGGCTTCCTTATATAGACTTCTGGCGTGTGAAAATTTGGTTACGAGGGTGTTGCTATGGTAGCGACTATGGAAGGGATGCGCAGTGGGTGAAAATCGTGAAAATCGGAAAATTTGATCAACGTAGGCGTGCATGTTTTCTTCTTCATAGAAATGTCAACTTTTTTCACGACGCATCATACACTGATAAAAATGTAAAGGACAATGGTGTAGGATGGTTGAGGTCTTCCTTGTACAGGTCAGGTGATTTTTTACCAGGAGTGTGCTTGCTGGTGAGTACTTATTAGAATCTACAAATCAGCCGGAATTCCTAGTGGTTAAAATGTGATGAGGATTTAGTCGTTTTAATTCCGGATGTTGCTGATCAGCTGATCTGTGCAATCCTAGTTTGTGTCCGTTTACATCCTCCAGTTTATAACAATTCGAACCTAGTTTAGGAATAATAGTGTTTGCAGGAGAATACGTGTCTGTCAGCTTTGCGTTGAAAGTTTTTGCTTTATTGGAAAGGAAATAGTTTTTCTTCAATACAGTTTCCCCACCTTAAATTCGATAGGTTCTACAGTGGATCTCAAATTATAATACTTCCCGTATTTTTCGTATGCTTTTTCGAAGATTTCCTTTTGTTCATCACTTAATTCCTTTGGTTCATTATTCACATTCTCTCCAAATTCGTTCATTCTTGATTATTTGTCTCCGGAGCTAATATAGTTCCTTCCATAATTGACAAAAATAAAGCATTTTCTGTAGGTTCTCATCCTGATCTGTTTGTTTTTTTTTTCTTTTAGGTACGTTCTGATCGCTGCACCAAAGCCCGACTCACCCGTTCGGTCGGATTATTTGTTGGACAACCAAGTAGCAAAAAGGTTGAACTGTGAGCCGCTCCGGAATGCCAAAAACAAACATGGGTTGTTTGACCACACACTTTTCGAAGTGAGAGGTGACGACTCCCAGCGTTGTGTTGAACTTTTAGACCGTGGGAATGGACCCATATAGTCGATGGACACAACTTGCCATGGCATCGACGCTATTCTCGGACGACCCAATTTGAGGTGGATGTTTCGCCGTTTTGCAGTTTCTCACACATATGCGGCCAATAGTGCTTTTCCCGGATTTCCCTCATCGTTTTGTAGTACCCAAAGTGGGTTACACTGTGCTCGTCTTCGAGGATCTGAATAGGATCAGCTTTTGGCGGCATATCAACTCAAAACGAGGATCTTTTGAAGTGCAGCTGACTTGCAGAATTGACTTTGATGTTCAAGTCCACCGTAAGTACATCTACCTCATTTACTGCTCTTGATAACGCGTGTGCTAAAATATTTAATTTCCCTTTGTGTATTCTAGAACTATATCATGCTGCTGCAGTTTAAGGGCCCATCCAACAAGTCGTGCGGAGATGCCCTCGACGCTTACTTTATTTAACTATTTCAAGGATTGCGCGTCCAGTTATAAATGAGTACCCCCTACGTAATGGCGGAATTTTCCAATGGCCAAATCTACAGCCAGGCATTAGTGTCCCGTTGCAGATTACTTCCTCTGAGTTGAAGAAACATATTTGAAAAGAATGAGATTGGGCGCCTACATTCATTAGAGATGCTGTACCAGAACTGTTTCCGCTACCACTAAACAAGCGTCAGATTCTATTAAAATCTGGATTCTTCAGGATTGGTGGAGAAGTGAGTACACTTTTTTATTTCATTAAATGATTTGTCTGCCTCTTCAGGCCCAATAAGTTTAGTTTTCAACTTATTTAGTAGGTTCGTGATTAGTGTCAGGATGGTACTGTAGTTTGGTATAAATCGCTTGTTTTAACGTTGTTGGCGAGGGATAGCTAAGAATCGGTTCTAGTTTTGAACTATCTATCGATCTCTGACAAAATATATGCTAAATAGGAAATTCGTTTATGGATTTTTTAGGACTTTTCCACACTTATGGACAAGTTTGCTCTACTCAGTCGTTCCGCTACCATTTTCAATAATTTCAAGTGTTCTTCTAACGTTTCAGAGGTGACGACTATGTCATCCAGGTAAACAAAAACCTGAGCCTCATAACCCTGAATCGGGGAATAAAAATCTAAGATATATTTTTTTTTATTTACTCCTAACATTATTAATCATTTTTTGATTTGTCGTTAAGTTGCTACTTACGGATTTTATAAAGAAATGTCTCTTTTGAAGCCAGGATAGATTGGCCGATACTCAGGACCCGGGATGCAGTTAACACGAAGGGGAATTAGAAATAATCACGCGAGGATTCTATTCGTGAACAGTGTCACTGATAGTGAATTTCATTTTCGATAAATGCAAGACGAAAAATACATTAAATAACGTCAATAGTTCAAGTGTGTTTACAATATTTACAAACATTTGTAGTATATCAACTGCACCCATTACCAGTCTGTGGGCAAGAGGTGCGATAGGGTGACCGAGCGCGCGCGTTACACGGAGTATAGTAATATATGCGAATTCAGTGGATTGATAAGAGAGCAAAAGGCATATTCAAGATTCTCTTCTCTCGTTATCCGAAGGCTAATGATAAGGAAGAGTACATTCTTGGTATTGATCGCAAGTGATCGAGTGTGATCAATATAGGTCTTATATACTAAGGAGTATCCATTGCTAGGGTTTGCGTTAACATATGCTGGCCTCCGTTGAAAGGTGAAGCCTTTCAACCGACATGAAGGTGAAATGATAAAGGATGATCTGCACCGAAAATAGTTGTCATGTAGCTTCCATTGGAAACGCAAATGATTTTCTTCCATAAACAAAATTAATGGAATTCATCTGAATTTCACATAACATTTATGCGATCACGTTAATTTTATATGATTTTTCATATGAATTTCATCGGCCGCATAATATTCATGTGATTTTGTGGTGGGATTTTTAGCTATGTGATCACATGAAAGCTATGTGAAATTCACATGGTTTTCATCCATTAGATATGTGATAAATTTTTTGAGTGTGGTCGTCTTCGTTGTTGTCGATCGCTCTCCACGTCGTTTGTTTTGATTATCCTTTTGCTCGGCAAGGGTCGTTGACCTTCGCACGGTCTGATCCTTGATCAGCTGTTTCCTCTACCAGTACTCGATCGTTGGTCGTTGCTATTGATGTCATCGTCATAGTAACTGGCTTTCGATGGTCATCACTTGGTTGGGCGCACTCGTGGTTGGGGTTGGAGTCGGCATCGATGGATCGAGGGTGCATATAGGAGAACAAAAAAATCTTCAACTTTTTGAAATTTTAATGAAAAAAAATACTTACAGGGGTTAGAGGCCCGCAGGCACTGGAAAGTTGGGACTGCAGGGTGGTATGAATTTGAATTGGATCCCGTCGCCAACGCAACGATTTACCATTGCTGCTTTATTTTGTTGCGAGTAGAATTTTTTGCGCAGCTCTGCTAACTCTCGGAGGGTTCCCTTGAAGTTTTGGGCGTTGTCACAGTGGATTATGTGTGGTTTTCCTCTCCGAGACATAAAACGGTGTATTGTCGCGATGAAGGCGGCTGTCGACAGATCGTAAACCAGCTCAATGTGGATGGCTTTTGTGACAATGCAGATGAAAATTGCCCCATAGCATTTTGTTGGTTGATATTTGCGAAGATCGATTTTCCGGTATAAAGTTGTGCATGAATCGACGAAGTATCTCAGAGATTCGAAGTAGAGAACGGAATGTAGAGCGTAGACCGAATATTTCATTCGATTCGTGAACTCTGACCGGTAACGATATCGATCGTTCTTCGAGGGATTCCACTGTCAGTTCAGGCAGGCCACTTTGGAGGACTGGAGGCCAGAAACGGGATGGTTGTTGCAGCCAGGATGGTCCCGTCCACCAGGCTGACGACTCCTCTAACTGACTTGCTTCAATTCCACGAGAGATTATGTCCGCTGGATTATCCATACCCGAAACGTGAGCCCAGACACCATTGGTTGTTAGATGTTGCACTTCCGATACTCGATTCGCAACAAAAGTTTTCCACCTTGACGGAACCGAGTTGATCCAGTGGAGTGTGATCGTTGAGTCCGACCAGAAGAATGGTTGAGAGTTCAGTGCGATGCTAGAGTTCACCTTGTGGTACAAGTGGCTCAAGAGAAGAGCCGCAGACAACTTCAACCTGGGAGGACTAACCTTTTTCTGCTTCTTCGAATCTCCGAGAGGTGCCACCTTGGATTTCGTAGTCAGCAGACGAACCGAAATGCTTTCATCATTAGAAACGGTACGAACATATAGGCAGGCACTGTAAGCACGTTCCGACGCAGCGCAAAACCCATAAAGTTCTATGTTAACGGGTGCAGTAGCAAGTGCTGCCCACCGAGGTACGGGGATTGAAGAAAGTGCATTTAGACTGCAACGAAAGGAAAGCCAATGCTGCTGTTTATTTTCGTCGAGATGATCATCCCAAGACGTTCGCAGGGAGATTGAACAAAGATTTTTGCTAGAACTATCACTGGTCCAATCAGCCCAAGCGGATCGAAAAGTTTTGCTGTATCTGATAATACAGTGCGCCTGGTGATTGTGTCCGATTGAGACCACTTGGGAACGGAATAGTGAAACAAATCTGTTTATGGTTCCCATATTAGTCCAAGGGTTTTGATAGTCGATGGTGAATCCAACGCAAGGACTACTCGTTCTTCACGTAGTTTGGGTGGTATGATCGAAAGGATGCCCGTCGAGTTGGACGCACATTTGCGTAAGCTAAGCCCGGAAGATTTCTGCAGATTTCGTAACTGTTTGCACAATTTCGCAACTGTTTGCACAGTCAGCATATCGTCCATATAAAAATCCTTCGAGAGGACTAGAGCAGCATGAGGATACAGATCAGCTCCTTGCTTAGACAGCTCCAGAAGACACCTAGCAGCCAAATATGGCGCCGAGGCAGTGCCGTAGGTGACGGTGGTAAGCTCGAAGGTTTTCAGCGGTTCTGAGGAAGAGAAACGCCAGCGAATGCGATGTAGTGGACAGTCAACAGGGTGAAGAAGAAGTTGCCGGTACATTTTTTCGCAATCGGCAACCATTCGCGCCTGATTAAGCGATACTCCGCTGTCCGTCCGACAAGAGGCATCGAACACTACCCTCAATTTAGTGGTTGTGCAATCAGCTTTCTCGACGCCATGATGAGGCAGGTAGTACGACGGAAGAGTGTTGAAAGTGACTATCTAGTGGTTCTGGGCTGCACACGTGAGCCACTTTGAGTTGGTTACGGGAATGATAAATCCCTATCTTACCGGATGCTACCCAGCCAAAAACGGTATTTTGTAAAACTGGCTTTTCAGGACCCAGCTTGATGAATCCTTCTAGGACCAGTTCTAAATCTATTGGAAGATCTATTGGTCCCGGTTCATGGAAGTTGGGATCTGCTAGTGTGATTCCAGATGGAACGTTCCAGCAGGAAGAATCAACCACGTTGACAGAAAGCTCACGGGTGATCTTCTTCAGTATGTGACAGGTTCTTCGACAGTATATTTGGTGCAATGGGACCCTATCCTAACATCAGCAGCGTGATACGATACGACGAGAGTGTTGCCAATGCCTCCAATTTCTCGACGATAAGGATAGCGACTTAACTGCAGCTTCTGAACCATATTCTCGGTGACTATGCAAAGTTTCGATGCAGGATCCAACAACGCTCTGTCCCATTGGGCATCTCCATCGAAACCGAAAACCTTGACGATTGCGGTTTGCAGCAGAACAGTAGCAGGAACGGTTTGGGTGCTTTCAACGAGAGTGGTGGAAACAAGGCTAGTTGTTTGGGCAGAGGTTGAGGGTGACTGGGATTCAATCGATTCAAAATTCAACCGAGATTGCGAAGAAGACTAATTCGAGGAATTCGTTTGGTTCGAGAATGAGGAATTCGAACCAGAAACGAAAATTATATTGGGTTTTTGTTGTAATGACAAACGATCGCTAGGAGGTTGGTGTAGCATAGTATGGTTCTTCTGGTTGCAACCCCTCCAACCGCAGGACGAACAGCCCTTCAAAAGATGAGAGGAGGACAAACAATTAATGCAAAGATTCTTTTTCTTCACTTGGTCAAATCATTGGGAAACGGCCAGCTTCTGGAACACGCCACACTTGAATGGTGAGTATGGAGACTTCGAACAGAACGAACAGAAACCAGGCGTCGAATTAGTAATGGTGTGGATTGTATTAACCTTCGTTGATTTCAACGGCTTTCTGCGAATCAGATGAGCGAAACTTCAAAGGTGCCAACGACTGGAGAACCATTAAATGTGTACGCAGGAAATCGATAAGCTCCCGATACTGTGGGACCTCAGTAGATTTGTGATGAGCTTCCCATTGCCTTGGGGTGAACGAATCAAGACGACAGCAGATCATGTGGGATAGAAGCACACTCCAACCATCCGTTTGGACGCCCAGTTTGTTGATTAGGCACAAATTGCGCTCAAAATCGTCGATAAGACGCATAAGGGACTCGCATCATTTCAATTGTGAAAAGTGAATCTATGTAAGTTTTAACAACTAACTTTTTGTTGTCAAACCGCTTCTCCAACAACTGCCACGCAACGGCGTGGTTTGCGTCGGTCAGCTCAATCGATTCAATAACCTTTCTGGCATCCTTGGTTAATGATGCAACATCTTATCTATCTGCGATAATTGAGTGTTTGAATTAATCAGATATTTGTATTTATCCCTAAATGTGATCCATTCCAAAATGG